GGAAGGGGCAGTGCCTGCGGGCACGGAGCAGGCAGGGTGGTCTGGGGGTCCAGCCCTCCCTCTTGTATGAGGGGGGTTCAGCTCAGCCACTGCTGTCATGAGGTTTGCCAGGTAGCCATGTGGCACGGCACGGATGTGCAGGGTGGTCATGGGGCTTGGTGCGCAGCCTGTTCCCCAGTCCTGCACAGTGGGGCATTTGCTGAGATGGTCTGACTTTTTGCTTCAGGGAAGTATTAAAACAAAATCACCCCCTCCGATGGGCAGCGTAACATCTCCAACATCATGGAAGGTTTCTGTGCCTGCTGGGCTCTGGCCAGGTTTCCTCCCTGCTCCGCGGATGGGACACGGGGCTGCCTGGCACTGCGGACCCCTGGATTGTGCTCTGTTGCGCGAAAGCCTGCACCTCTTCTTGCACCAAGCGAAGGTGCCCAAGTTCCAAGAAGTGCTGAAAACAGCAGGAGTATGAAAACAGCTTTTGGAAAACTGGCAGAACTGTAGGGCCAGATGTGCACGAAGGTTGACAGTGTTGGAGCTGCAGCGAGGAGGGCTTGTGTCAATTGGCACAGAAAACCAGCCAATGTGCCAGCCTCCCCCACCTCTCTCTGTTTCTTTTTTGGGTGGAATTCTGCTAACTATAATTATCCAGCTCACACGGACCTTTACAAACAATGCTTCAGACCGGCAGGACTTGGAATGTAATTTGGCATGACAGAGTCCCTCATTAGCACCGTGGGGCACCGGGCTGCGTTCCAGCTGAGCTGTGGGCAGAGCAGTCCTGGCTGGAGGGTTGCAGTTCTACACGTGGCTTTAATGAAGAAGGAGGAAGAAGTCTCTAGCTCCTGTGACTGGCAGAGTGGCTGGGGTCTGGGAGGGCAGCGCGGAGCTGTTCCTGGTGTGCCCATGTGTCTGCGTGCCGGGGGAGCTCCCGTGTGGGTGATGGCTCATGCCCATGGGGAAGGACATGGGCCCGTGGAGAGGAACAGTCATCTCTGCCATGCTGGTTATGACCAAGATTTATCTTCAGAGAGATTTGGGTACTTTGCAGTTACTTCAGGTCCCAGCTTAGAGACGAAAGGTGAAAAGCAGCTAACAAAATTGTTAATGAAAAATTCCACAAAATTCCAAACAGAACATAACAGAAGAGAGACTACTGATATTTTCAATCAAAATTAAGTGCTTTGATGTGCCAGAACACCACTCTTCATTTCAAAATGACATTCCAGGCTGAAAAATTTCAAGTCAGACCAAACATTTGTAGTTGGAGTCTCACGACGATGGAGGTTGATAACTGTCAAAATAGCAATTTCTGCAAAGCTGTGTTTTCTAATGGGAGTTTGTGCATGAGTGGGAGCCCTGAGTGCCTGTGCCAGTGCGGCTCTGGGGGGGAGCACTGCTCCAATGTCTGCTGCTGGGGATGGCGCCTCTCGGCTTCGTGCTCCTTCAAACCCCGTGTGCTCTCCCCGGCCGCCAGCTCAGCTCCTGCTGCTCGGTGCAGTGGCTTCCCTTTTGAGTGTGGTGTGGACAGTGCGGGCTGCATTATTGATAACTCTGTGATTTATTTATGCTTCCTTGGCTGTAGCAAACCGCTCAGCCTTCCTGAGCTAAATATAGTTTGCACTGGGAGCATGTCCCTGTCCTGTGTGGGATGGAGGCGGCCAGCGGTCTGCTTGCGTTTTGGTCCAGCCAAGAGATTCAGGGATGTCTCCTGGAGACCTCACATGGCCCGTAGGGTCCCACAGCCAGGAGCTGGGGCTGGGCTCCTCTGGAGGGACTCCAGCGCATGCTGTGGGGCTCAGTGCTCGTGCCTGGGAGCTCGGCTGTGCTCCCTGCATGCCCTGTGTGGAGGGGGAGCGGAGCAGCAGCCGGGAGACCAGGGACTCTCAGTGTGGGCTGACCTCCCGCGGGGGCCTGGCTGTTCTGCTGGAAGCTGTACGGGATGTGCGTTGGCATCGGGGGCTCACTGCCACAAGAAATGCAGAGGCTGGTGACAGCCTCGTGTCTGCTGTCCTCTCACATCTGGGCTGCCAGATGTGCCCCTTCGTGGGGCAGGACAGATGGGTGCTGTGGCACATGTCCCAGCCCAGCTGGGGCACAAGCTCCTCCCTGGCTCCCCTGGTCCAGCGTGGCCGGGGGGTGGGGGTGGGTGTACGCACGTGTGGTGTGGGAGAGCATCGTGCCCCGCTCCCAGCTGGCCGCAGTGCTGGGTGCTGATGCACACGCTGTCCCTGGATTTACATGAAGGGCTGAGCAGCTCTGAGAGAGCTGTTTACTTTTTCATTGAGGAAATAGTACGCGTTTTAAGCTGGAATCAATATTTACATGATGGGCTGTGACATCTCTGAAGGGACTCCGACAGTGCGGGCTGTCGTGTGAAAATCCCCCCTCTGAGGAAGCCTCTTGCAGAGCAGATTCTGCCGACAGCCCCGCCGGAGCACTGGAGATTGCCTAAATACGGCTTTACACGAGGGAATCGGCGCACTCTTGTCACATCAGCTCATGCCCGTTTCAAGGAGTGATGGTTTTCTTGCACATTAAGCCATCTCGGGTTCATTCTGGTGATGCAGTGGCTTGGGGGGGGGGGCTGCCTCAGCTCAGGGCAGCGGTGCAGGTCTGCACAGCTCCTCTGGTCCCCACAGCACCAGGTGTAGCTTGAGTGAGGATTGTGCTGGAGCAGGATCAGTCCCTTGTCACCCGGCAGGCAGGGATGGAGCTGGGAAGGAGAGTTGGATGCCTGCATGTCCGTGCCCTCCCCGACCACACTTCAGTCTGCTCCTGGCCAAGCCGACTATCCTGCAGCGTTAATTAGGAGTATTTTCTTACCTCTAAATTCTTTTCTAGCATAAAATATGTATTTTTGTCACGATAACATTCTTTTTTTTTTTCCCTAGGCAAGTGTCAATGTTTTTGGTGACTTCCCCCCCCCCTACAGCTGGGAGAATCAAAATGGAAAATATAATTTTAAATCAGCATTTTGGAATGAAACATTTTTCATTTTGAAATGTCAGTTTAAAACAGAACAATTTATTTTGAAATGCTTCAAAACAAGAAATGCCCTTTTACCACCTCAAATCACTTTGTTTTGATTAAAAATGTCAGCGTTTTCTGTTCTGGCACTTCATTATATGAGTACGTTTCACTGTCTCAGCCTGGTCCAGAGCAGATAGAAATTTAGAAGATGGTTGAAAACTAAAGATTTCTTCTCCCAGCAGCCCGAGTTTGTCTGGTGCCCGGCCAGCATCCCACGCTGCCCTCGCTGCCTGCATCGGCCCCAGTGGGTGGGGGCAGCGGGGGCCGGTGCAGTGAAGCTCACCGGGGAGGGGACCGTGGGCGCGAGCCTTGCATGCGGCAGGGGCAGCCCAGGCACCCGCTGCCTGGTCCTGGCAGCGCTCCCGAGCCCCGGCGTCATCGCCGCTTGTCTTCGTGGCCTCTCATTAATAAATTATGATACAGCACTGAAGTTTTACCGGGGACATGGTTATTTGCCCTGGACCCGGTTAGATCTCAGCAGGCGATAAACGAGGCCAGGAGGTTGTCACTTCACCTGGCAGATGCCAAGTGGAGACGTTGCTGTCAAAGCTGTTGTTGCTCGTGCTGCTGCCTGCAGAGCCCCAGAGCCGTTTCCACCTGCAGGGCTGTGGCTGATAAATAGTACAGGGAACATATTTAAAGCAGTCGACAGTAAAACACCAACTCTTTGGGGATTTAAATTTTTCCTTAAGGGCTTCAGATGATGTAAAACTCTGCTCCTTCCCAGCACGTCCTGTGTGGTGGGAGAGGGGGCACCAGCGCGGTGCCAGTGGGCAGCGGTGGCGGTAGATGGCCCCGGCGTGCCGAGGGAGGTTACTGGGGGACCAGGTGTGTTCAAAGATAGTGGAGGCAGTTTTGTGTCTGTGTGGTTTTGTGAACTTTGCAGACATACCGAGAGGAGAAGCAGCCCCAGAACAAGGCATTGCTGTGGGACACTGGGGTGCCGGACCTGGCGCTGCCGTGGGCTGTGCACGTCTGCCCAGGCCTCGGCTGCCCCATTCCTCAGCGCCCCGTGCAGCACCGGCCCTGCCAAGCAGGAGGGTGGCTGGGCCCTGGGGCAGCTTGGTGTGGTCGGTCCGTCTGTCTGTTGGTGAGTGGTTCGCAAAGTGCCCAGCCCATGAGAGTCAAACCTTGGGCATCACTGCAAGGGACCTCAGCGACACGAGGGCGATGACAGAGCGTAACCGCACACGGAAAAGGTGATACCTGGAATGACTCACTGCTGATTTACTCTGGCTCTTCCCACACACCCTGGGTCTGTATTTAGTATTTGTGATCTGCATTAATAACATACTCTAATGGGCCTGATTTTTGCACTCTCAGCAGTAAAAATCAGGAGCAACTCCTCTGAAGCGGATGGAGGCACACTGGTGTTAAAGGGGGTGAGCGGGGTTATGGGCTGAGTTCCCAGAGAGGTTTTGGTGCGTGCGATGGGCAGGTGTGTGCTCCTGTGCACGAGATCGTGTGTGCTGATGCGGGGCCAGCTGAGCCCCGGGGTGTCCCCAGCCGCTCCCGGGGGACTCAGCGGTTCGCACCCCCCAGGTACCGTACAGCAGGTATCGCTACCCATATTTCTCTTTCTCCTTTCAGATGCACTGATGTCTGCCCCTTGCAAAGACCTGACCTACCCGAGGTTGGCAGATGCAAAGGTGTTAGTGTGAAACCCCAGTAAGAGGTAACTATTGCTCGTCTGTGCTACTGCTGGTGTGGTTTCTTTCTGTCCTGCGATGTCCTTTCTGCGATGGCCTGTGCTGCTGAAGAAGTCTGAGCCCGTTCAAGGGCGGTGGGTGAATCCCTGGTGCGTGCCCTGCCTCCCAGGGCCGTGTCCCCGCAGCCAGGCCACCCCGGTCCCTGTGGCCGCGCGTGTTCAGGGGCCACACCGCTGCGTGCAGCAGCGTCGGTGAGTGGGGGCTGCACCTCCCAACCCTCCTCAGCCCCTCTTCCTCTGCGCATCTCTTCTTGTTTTTGGTAGAATGAGTGAGAGAGACATACAAAGCCTGAGGAAATGGGTTTTCGTGCTCACTCTCTGCCTTACCACACTATGGGGAAGACTGACGCTGGCCTCCACCCATCACAGAAGCCATTCAGGTAGGGGAAGCGACATCCTCGCTACATGCGTCATGCTCCTGTGCCATCACCCTAGGCCCCCATGACACTGGTGGTACCTTGAGGTCTCCCTGGGGAGCCCGGGGTGGGGGTTACGTGGGGCTGAGATGTTTGGTGAGGGCCCGTCCCTCGTTCCTGGGTGGGAGGACGAGTGTAGGTGGTCTCGGGTCGTGGGCTGCAGGAGTGTCTCTCTGGGGACCAGAGGCTGGCGGCCCGGGGGACCTCAGTGTCCGACCCCGTCACTGGGGTGCTGGTGGTGAGGAGGAGTGTGCTGAAGGCGCGGGGCGGAATCCAGCAAACAGATGCTGAGAGGCACCGACATTTTCTCTCTGGTGCCACTGTGACAACTGCGGGATTTGCACTTCGAGTGTCCGTGCATGCAGGACACTCCCTGGGCTGCTCCTCAGAGACAGGCAGGAACCTGGAGCCATATAGCAGTAAAGCTGTTCTTTGGAGTTATAACTTGTAAATACTTAATATGGGGCATTTAAAAACTGTTGCTTGGTGAGCCTAGCTGGTCTGAGGAGCTGAAAAGTGAATTTCTTCATGTCTGTAGCAAAATCTGAGACACATCTACGTATTCAGGTTATTACTGAGGTAATTCTTGATCTGTGAGCAGTGAGACATTACTCTTTCCATCTAAGTTGCGATGAGTGTCCCAAACTATGCTTTTTATGCAATGGACACTCTCCACTTTAGGCTTTCATTAGAAATACAAATTTTCAGCCCTCTGGTTGTAAAGATCATCTTGAAACATGGAACAAGTATAAACTGCTGTAGAACTGAAAGTCTTGCTGCAAAGCGTAGCCTTGGCTTTGGGGTGTTAATTTGTCATTCCCAGCGGTGGCTTCAAGATCCCCCTCTGTTCGTGTATGTTGGAATGCTGTTTTGTGCAATCAGTGTGATTTTTGGAGGGGTTACGTGAACCCACGGTTGAAGTTTGTGTCTTGAGAAGAGAAGCAGCTGAGAAGTCATCCTCAGCCCTTCATGCCCGTCTTGCCTGGTGCAGGAGCCCGATGGGCCACACTGGAGGGGGGATATGGTGGTCCAGGGCTGGGGGTTCCTCTCCTCGGTGCGTGGTGGGAGGACGGCGGGGGCGGGTGGGAGCTGATGTTACTGGTGGGCTGGCAGAGTTGTGTAGCAGGGTGGCAGAGGCAAGTGCTTGGAGTAGGGAGCAATTCTGGGGCACGTGCTGTCTGCCTCTTGTGCCAGTGTTTGGGGAAAAAAAGGGTATTTAAGGGTTAATTTGAAATTGTTCGTGCTCTTGCCTGACCCCACACCCTGTCCTATTTCTGTCGTTTTTGCCTGACAGTTAAAGCAGTTCTAATCCTGTAATCCCCATCCTCATTGTTTAAAACCAAAACGTATCTTCCAGAGTGACTCCTTCAACCAGCTAGTCAGCAGTTACCTGCCTTACCCTCTTTCTAACCTGTAGCAGGTGCATGAGAAGATAAAACTCCTCAGTTGTTTCTGGAATGACTTTTTGGCACCAGCTCAGGACTCCCCAGGATATGGGCTCGGGCACTGCCTGCAGCCGGGCACTCGCCCAACCTGGCCGGTCCCCGGGGCTGGAGAGCCCCACTTCTCCCTGGCAGGAGCGGTTTGCAGGGGAGCTGCTTCTTCGGGCAAGAGTCAGACCTAGCATTAACAAAGCAGCGACTCACCTAGGTTTAAAGTGCAAATGCCCAAGTGTACTCGTGGGGTGTGAATTATGTATAAATCTCGCTCCATACATGAGGAGACGGGCTCATGTATTCATGTGCTCGCAGGCAGAGAGACGGGGATTTTTTGCTCACACAGACTTATCCACAGTGGACCAAATCTTGCACTTTTTATTCAAGCAAATTCTACCAGGAGCAAATACTTAAAAGTCTGACTCTGCTCTGTGTCTGTATTAACACGGTTTCTCTCTGCACGTCCTGGTTTCCTAGCACTGTAAGAATTTTGTGTGGCTGCACTGGCTGCTGCCTCCTCTCCTGGGCTGGATTTCCACAGGCTCAAACCAGGAATTCTTAGCCTGCTTGCTGAGTTCATGGCCTTTATTTTCCTGTTGTCTGCCCTGTGCTTTTCCTTCATTTGGGACAGTTTTCGGTAAAGGTTATGTTTGAAACGCACTTTCATAAGGTTGCATTCTCAGTTGCAATGACATTTTTGTCCTAGGAAGCCCGCAGTTACATTTCTGGAGGTGGGAATGGGGATAGCTGTGTCGCTGATGCCTGCCTGCAACCCCCACAGTCAGAGAGGCTGGTGGGTTGTGTGCATAAAAGGAGAGACACATCCAGAGCTTTCAGCTGTTTAGAGCATTGCGTTTATTCACAGTTAAAACTGGGCGTGGCACCTAAAAATGAGCAATAGCAGAGGAAGATCTTTAATTGTGACAATGTGGCCACAGGGTTTCAGAGCCCCCAAACTCATGAATTTCTTGAACAGAGAGCCCGCGTGCAGACCCTCTGTTAGCCGTCCAGGGAAACACCGCACTGTAGACATCTGGCTGCAGAAATAAGATCTAATCACTTGTGCTCACCCAGCACGTGGGGAATGCTAATGTGTCCAAGCAGAGTGGTGCTTCCTGGGGTATGTGGTTGGATTTAAATAGCCACATGAATCGAGTGCGGAGATTAAGTCATTTGGAAATGGAATAGGAGACTCCTTGGTGAAGAATGATTCACCAGCAATTTAATCCCCCATATAACGTGGTGAGCTCTACGTGATGAACAAGGCTTGCTTGTCTGGATACAGCTCCCGCAAAGGTGGCCCCAGCATCTTCAGATAAACCCCTCTAATGCTGATAATCAAAGTGACATCTTTTCCTTCATTCACATTCATCACTCAACGTGGAGCAGAAGTAAAGGCGTTTAGTCAGCAGGGATTTGCTTTCAGGAAATGAGGTTCTTTGAGTGAACGGAGAGCACTGATTTCTGATTATCTTGTAAGAGAGATTTACTGGTCAGTGCGTCGCTCCTCAGAGTGAAGACAGCAGCTCTGTGGCGTTTATTTGTGAGATGCTTCTGCAAGATTCCCTCTCTCTTGGGGAAGCGTTGGTTTCTCCGTCATGTGCAGCCTTTATATCAAGATGGAATATTTTCCTAAGCCACCTTCTCTAGATGAGGCAGAAGCTGCTCCGGGTGTGTGGGAAGCACCGCTCGGCACCGCAGAGGAAGGCAGGTTGTGTGTCGGGAGCTGTATCCACTAGCCGCAGGGTGCCCGTACAGGTTCATCTGTCGCACAATGGCAGAACACTTTCAGCTGTTCTTGACACAGTTCAGGCATTTGTTTTTCTGCTTGCAAGTGTGAAGTGATGGGATTTGCACAAGCGGTTCATGGATGTTCACACACTTGCACATGCAGCGAAGGGAAACAGAGCATGATGTGGAGTCTTGAGGTGACAAGGTAGAGGAAAATCCCAACTAACATGCAGTGATAATGAGCAATAAAAACAAGCCTGCTTCTCTCCAAAACCCTCTTAAATAATGCAAGTGTCTAAGGCAGTAGTGATTTTAAGACTTTAATTATTTAGTGAATGTTAGTAGTAGAGTTGCTGCAGGACACGGAGTACAGATCGCTCACGCCACCGGCTGCCCGCGATGCCCCGGTGCCCCGGGGCTGTCCTGCCCTCTGAGCAGAGCCCTCCGAGCCCGCGGCTCCACTCCCCGCCGGGAACTGGACCTCTGCCTCCCTCCCGGGTTCCGCCTGGTCTCTGCTGTGCTGCTCAGCCCTCCTCAGGATACCTGGACCCATTTAACCGTATTTCAGTGCTCAGGAGGAAGGGGTTTTGGCACAGAGGGTTTGGGCATTGCCTGGCAGTTACATGCATTCAACTTCTCTTCATTTTACAACTGCCCACCAGCAAGCAGAGTGGTGTTTTACACTGAACATGTGGAGCAGTGCCCACGCCTCCCAATGACACACAAAATGTGTCATTTCAGGTTATGCCATATAAAAACATGTTCTGCCACTCACTTAAAGGTCAGCCAGAGTAGGACAGCATTTCTATTTTATTTTTGCATGCAGGATTCAAAAGCCTTGTGCTCTTACAATGCTTTTATGGTTCCATGAGATAAGACTTTTTTTAATATTTTTTTAAAAAAAAGGGTTCCAGTGGGGAAATACCAGTTAAAAGGGAGGGAGAAGCGTGCCAGAAGCTCTGGAACTTATCTCGGGCTCTCTGGGGCTTTCCTGCTCTCGGTGTTAAACACAGCATCCATCTGATTTGCATTTTCAGTCCTATCTGGTTTGAAGTTTCCTGCTGCTCAGCAAAAGGAGAAGCATCTGCAGGGAGCTCCAGAGGAGCCCATCGCTCTCCCTGCGCTTGGGCTCCAGCTCTCTTCGGGCTCTTCCCAGGCGTGTGACATAAAAGCCAGGAGTGGCAGGGAGCTGCTCAGCAGCAGCCAGGCAGCCCCTCGGCACTGCTCTCCTGTCGGCACCCCTTGGCATGGGGCTGCTCATCACTTCTACAACAAGGAAACAGCAAAGTCTCTTGCTGACATCCTGGGAATCGCCGTATCTGATGCTGAGGGATTCGTTTGCATCTGGTTACAACCCCCCAAACTCCTGAGCTCTCTCGGATGCTGGGGTCTGTGGCACTCGCGTCTGGTGCGGTCCGTGCTGCCTGTTGTCGAGGGGCAGGGAAGCGGGTGAATCTGTTTGGTGTGTAGGGAGCTGAGATGCTTTACATCATGTGGGGTGGCTCTTGCCCTGCTCCCTGTGGGGCCGTCTCTCCTGCTCAAATGCAGCCTGCAGCTCTGCTGCGAGCAGTCGCTTAGGGAGGGGATGCACCGTGCCCTGCTGCTGTGCCTCCCGCTGGGGCTGGCGCCTGGAGGGCTCTGCCCTGGAGAGAAGTGCCTGGGGCAAGTTTCCAGTGTCATTGTGTCCCAGGGCAGGATATTGGATGCTCAGAAGACCTTTAGGCAGATGAAAGTATTTCACGGCCGGAGAGAGGGCCTGGTCCCGGGGGTGGGTGCTGCTCCTTCAGCTCTGCCATCAGCAGAGCCCTTGCTGCAGGGCTGCGCATGCCCCCGGGGGTGCTGTGGGGCTGGTGCCAGGAGGCTGCCTGACCTCCGCGGTGCATCTGTTTGTCTTTGAGCTGTTCATGGTTTCAATCCTCGAGCAGAAGCAGGTGGGTGAGCTGGGACCAGCCTGGCTGCGGGTGATGGGGTATCTGCCCCTGCACACGGTGCTCCTTGTAGGCAGCTCTTCCCGGGGCAGAGGCAGCTGCTCCTGGCACTGCAGTTTGCTGCCTGACCCCGCTAGCAGCAGCTGCCTGGGCTCTGGCTGGCTCAAAGGAAAGCTGTATGCCTTTTGAGGGAAAACAAAGGCTTTCTGAACCTTTCTTTTCTGAGGCTCGCAGCCGCCCCCCGTGGAGCACAACGGCAGAACTGCACCCCTGGTACAGCTCGGCTAATCACAGCCCCAGGCTGGGTCCGGCAGGGCTGGAGCACAAAGCACCATCTTATCAGCGAGAGCATCTCTAGTCTGCCATGGGTTTGAGAGCATCTCTCGTTTGCCGTGGGTTTTGCCTTCCCCGGGTGGCCTGCCCGGAGGGCTGGGGGCAAGGTGCGAGCTGGAGATGGACTGTGTCCGTCTGTCCTGGTGCGAGCGCCTTCCTTGTGTCTGCACACCCGCAGTCTGCCGGGACGGCTGGCGTTCCTTGGTGTGACTGGCAGGGACATGGCGGGTGCCCACGGGCTCCTGCCGGGGCATGATGGGCTCTGAGGCTGCGGGTCTGGCACCGCGCTGCCACCGTGCTCGGCCAGCTGCAGTAAGCCAGAGGAGAGGCGAATTTTTCTTTATCTCCATGCTGCACCTTTTTGAGCAAATTAAAAGGGCTTTGGCATGTTAGCGGACTCTTACTGCGTGGCTGTAATGAGCGATTTCTCAGTTCTGTCTGGCTCTCCGTGGGCTGAACCTTTTTAAATTAGCTGAAAATGAAAAGCCGGAGAGCAGAAGTGAGAGGGACCAGCGGGGTCGTCTGGCCCTTCCTCCTGGGAAGAGCTCTGCTAATGAAGCTTTGCAGGGAGGCTTTTATAAAAATGAGTCAAAACCACAACTGCGCGTGAGTGCTGAAGTTGGAGGGTATAAAATCCCCTGTTGGGGGGGGCTGTGTTGGGATGTGCAGGATGGGCGAGTGACTTCTCGTGGTCCTGGACCAGAGCATGGTGGAAATGTGGGTTCATAGCCCAAACTAAGGACCTCTGCTTATTCCTCAGATTATTTGAAAAATCCCATTAACCGTAAAAACAGGGCAAAACAGTCACGCTTGTTCTGTAATGAGTTGCTTTCCTTCTCACTTTCATCAAAGTCTACTATTTCTGCATGCAAAAAGAATGGAAATTATCATTAAAGCTGAATTATGATGGCATTTAAAAGGGAGCATAAAATTGATGGCCAGAGATGCTATTACAAAATACTTCCAGGATAGGTAATTGTGTAATTATCATGGGCAGAAATGAAAGTGATGGTTCATTAAAAGAAAATGACCATGAAATAACAATAAATAAAGCCAAATTAAAGCTGTGGTAATTGCATGGCCCGTCCTGTCCATGTGCTGGCGGGTGCAGGGCACAGGGCTGTGTGGCTCCCGGCTGTGGCTCCCCAACGGGGCAGGCTGCGAGGGATGAGCAGTGTGTCACGTTCGCGTTAGGACATGGCCTTACTGCACAGCAGCGAGTGTCTCTCTGTGCTGGCCCGAGGCTGGTGGCATCGCTGGAGAGCGAGTCCTGGGGCACCTCCTCACGTCCTGCCCTTTCATCTCCTGGTCAGTGCTCGGACGCAGTGGGAACAGGAGAGGGGCAAGGACTGCTTTGGCTGGAAGCTGGCACGGCTGTGCCCGGCCAGCACAAGCCAGGAGGTTGCACTTGGATCACCGTTTCCCAGCAGGGATGTGAAAATGCGGCTGCAAGGCAGAGGGATTTCCCCCAGTGCCTGGGGAGAGATCCCATTTCCCTGAGCTTTCATTTGAGAAGGTGAAGGGGCTGCTTTCCAAACGCTGCTGGAAGGCAGGCGGTGTTTGCTGGGGAGCGTGGGTATGTGGCTGCCTCTCCCCGGGGACCCACAGGAGTGCTTGCCGTGACGCAGGTCGGCTGTCCCCGGTCCCCTTTGTGTGCCAGTTCCTGCAGAGCTGGGCCGGGGACACCAGCACAAACCTGCGGCACGAACTCCCTGGGCCGGCCGCCTCGTTTCGTGGGGTTGGGGGTGGATGGGGCCCTGGGACCTGCAGCAGGACCAGCCTGGCAGCTGGAAGCAGAGCTGGGAGCTGAGGCTGGCTGGCTGCTTGGCATGGGCAGGTCCACAACTGTGGGTCAGAGTGACAGGCAGAGCCACACATGCTGGGAAAGGGCTGTGCGTGGGCTTGTGCTCATGGGTACTGCCAGCAGCAGTACACCACGCTGCTCCCCACAGCCTTGCATGTCCTGCTTGCACCCTTTACCGAGCCTTTCCTCCGGTGGCTGCCGAGGGCTCCCATGGGGCTCCTGCCCACATCCTGGGGTATGGAAGGGGCCGAGCGCGTGCTGCTGAGCTGAGGACACAGAGCAGCCAGGTCTGACGGTGTGATGCGTGCTCATCTGCATGCATTTTGGGATGGCACACTGCAGAAACGCAGTTTCCCCATCCTCCCTGCAGCCCTGGCTCCTGCTCGCTGTGGAAATAAAAGCCTGTTCCCGGTGACCCAGGGGATGTCTCGGTGCGCGGCTCTGCGCTCACTCCTCCAGTGCTCATTAAACAGGACCTGCAGGGATCACCCGCTCTCAGGTCATGGGAATGAAGTCTATCCAGCCCTGTTTGACTAATTTGTATTGGGCTTGTGTGGGCCATTACCCAGTGAAAGTAATTGATTTGCGATGCTAACTAGCTTCTAAACCTGGATCCCAGAGGTGATAAGCCAGCACATTAGTTTTCTTTCTTCCTTAATATTTTAATGGCACTGGGAGGGGGAGCAGCAGAGCAGCCCGGATTTCTGATGAACACCGTGACATTTCTGTGTCACCGCAGGGCAGACATGCCGTCCCGGTCCTCCCTCCTCCAGCCAGAGGATGGTGCGTGATGGTGAGATGGGAACATTGGTTGTAGCCGGGGTCAGAGGTGGTGGTACTCTGAAGCCAAAGGCAGCAAGATGCGCCATTCCCTCTTGTAGCAAAGTGTGCATCTCATTATCAGCTGCAATTAAATAATGTGCTCATTCATTTCAATAAAGCTCTTGGCTTGGCTATGGCAAGAGGCTATTAATTTTGCTGGGTAGGACGGGTGTGAGGGCTGTTAGGAGTAAGAGCTCAGATGCAGGAGGTGTGGAGCAGGACAAGTGCTTCTTATGGGTGGGCTGGGGAAATGCTGGGCTGAGTCGCGTGTATGTCATCAGCAGCCCTGGGGTGATTACTGGAGGCTGGGACAGCGCTGCCCGTGCCGGGCCCTCCCAGTGTCTTGGTTGCGGCACATGCCGGCAGTGCTGGCCGGGAGCGGTGAGCAGGAGGTGGCCTGGGGGCTCTGGGGCACAGCCCTGCGTGACAGCGGCTGTTTCTCCTCCCACAGTGCACGTAGAGCCTGGCACATGCGAAGTCATTGCGGCTCACAGGTGCTGCAATAAGAACAAGATCGAGGAGCGCTCCCAGACAGTGAAATGCTCCTGCTTCCCGGGGCAGGTGGCAGGGACGACACGGGCGGCTCCCTCCTGCGTGGATGGTGAGTACTTCGCGGCTGCAAGCCGGGTACCGTGAACTCCCTCCAAATGAGTCTTCCCCATCAGTCAGGCTGGTGCGGAGTTTCTGTGTGCCCAGGATTAACAGAGGGGACCTGCCCAGGGGCTCCTGCAGCGGAGCAGAGGGGGAGAGGGAGTGGGAGTGTTTTGGGGGCACTCTCCATTGGCGTGGCTGCATTACCCCACCCCATGCAGCCCCAGGCTGTATGCCATGGGTGGGTTATGGTGCTCCAGCGGTTCACGCTCTTCTAGCGTGCCGCTGCGCTGGGGCCAGGCGCCACAGCATTGATCCCTGCATGTCTGCTCACTGTGCTGCTGCAGCCAGGGGCAGGGACGTGACTCCAGCCATGCAGCACCATCACCTGTGAGGAGCACTAAGCAAAGCTCCAGCCATGTATATTTTATTGAATGGCATCACGTGGCATCGCTGAAAAGCTGGCAGAAGCAGCTGCAGCTTCTGCCAGCGTGGTATTGATTCGCTTGACAGCCAGTGTCCTGTGAGTGCGGTTGTGTGCAACGTCAAGAAATGCCAGGATGAATTGTCAGGGAAGGTTTTTGATGTTCCAAACAGCTCATGTGTGTCGTCTTTCCCAAAGATAGGGGAGCCCTCTCTGGTTACCCGCGTTGGAGGCATCAATTACAAGAGCCTAACAGAGTCGAGTAGTGGTAGACGGTCCCTTTGCCTCCGTAAGAGGAGCCTGCAGTAGGTTTCTGAACAACTCTGTTCTCCCTACTCCTGTTGGGAGTGAGGACAGGGCTGTTGTTAGGCCTTTTACCTGGGGTAGGGAGAGAAAGCAGGGTGCTTCGGAGGCAGGTGGAGCAGTTGGGTCAAATGAGGCCTGGCAGCCGACGAGCGGCTCCTCGGCAGGGTCGTGGGCTGTGCCGAAGAGAGGGGCTGCACCTCCTGCCCTGCCCTCCTGCACCTCCCGAAGGCAGGCAGGGCTGGCGCCCTGTCCCCCATGCACTGCCAGACCAGGGCAGCCTCCCCCAGCTGCCGCTGTGCCAGGTCCTCCGTGCCCAGTGCCGCAGCCCGGCCACTGACGCCCTCGTCTCCCCCAGCCTCCATCGTGCTGCAGAAGTGGTGGTGCCAGATGGAGCCGTGCCTCGATGGGGAGGAGTGCAAGGTACTGCCCGACCTCTCAGGCTGGAGCTGCAGTAGCGGCAACAAAGTGAAGACGACCAAGGTATGTCCCCTGGCAGGGTGCTGAGGGGGGAAGCCTCGCTGGCCTGTCCCCAGCCTGGGGCAAGCAAAGGCCAGGAAAGCATCCCTGGAGAGTTCGCAGGGGAAGGGGAGAGCCTCGGCTTTTTCAGGGCACGTGCCATTTGTTACGGATGCACCGAAGCAGAGCAGAGGGTCTGGGCTGTGCTGTTGTCACCGGTGCTGGAGGGGCTGGCGGGGGTAGCGCAAATCCCAAGTGGGTCCCACGGCTTTGCTGATCGATAACTCCTGCGGGGAGGCTCGGTGAGGAGGGCGCTGGGTGGCTCAGACCACGAGCAGACGTGCTGGGGATGTTTCCATACCAGCCCAGAGCTGCTGGGCCCTCCCGGCTGCTCTCCAGCATCTCCCTGCTGCTCTAAGGCAGCAGGTTGCTCGTCCCAGCTGAGTGGCACAGCCCTGAATCTGTCACCGCTCCCCCGTCTGAGGCAATCATCTGTGACAGAGCACTACATGATTATTATTTTCATGGCTTGCTGAATGCCCCAAAGAACAAGGTATAATTAAAATTTTATCAAACTCATTAGTAATTACATATATGCCATGGTTAATCAGTTGCATAATTTTGTAATCATTGTTCATACTGTTGAGTGTAATTATTCCTTATGCTTTAGTTTTTCTCACCCCACATCCCCTGCCATAAAATTATCGTATTAAGCAATGTTGGGATTTTTTTCATTATTGCTATTATTTTTGTGCACAGAAAGCACTTTCATGCTCAAGTATTTTTATGGATGTCCAAGAAGGTTCCTCTGGCCCTAGGCATCCATCACTGACCAGTAACTGCAGCACTACATTTAGTTCATTGTCTTTTTCCCATCTTAATATTGTTTGTTTATTTTTTCCCCCAGCTGCTAACTTAGCCCAAAGCCTCTGCTCTGGCTTTGCTGTCCTGGGCTCTTGTTGGAGACCATTCCTGTCTGCAGGACCCCAGGGCTTCTGCGCTCCTCCCTCATCCAACAGCCCTGACCACCATGACCATCCTCCTAGCACCCCTTTTGGGTCCCTTGCCCTCCCCTAAGGAGGCGGCATTTTGGAAATGTAGACCTATGTTTTCAAAAGGATTTTGGGTGCCCTGTTAGGAACTGCGCCGAGGGGGCTGGATTTTGCCCCTCCTGGTCCCCTCTGCAGACAGACCCACAGTGGAAGCTGTAGCCAGAGCATGGGGTTCACAAACAATCCATAAGCTGAAATTTGGAACGACCACCCCATTAAATGAATATGAAGAGCAAATCATACTTGCATCTCCTGAGGCTGTTCGCTGGCAATTTGCAGATGGGGTGATCAGCTGGGTGCGTTGGGTAACTCGCCCACTGCAAACAGGTTCACCGTTTCCATTAGCAGGCACCTGCCCCACTCTCCTCCTCTGCCCGCAGGTCACGCGATAGCCTCTGTGCAACTCGGCGGCAGCTGACCAGCCTCGGCACGGGTCCCCGGTGCTCTGCAGAGCCATGAGCAGTAGGACGTGGGCCGGCCAGGCGGTGCCTGCGGAGGTGGGATGCTCCGGGGCTGCCGTCCTGCACCTGCTGGCGGGACTGTGCCAGGTACCAGATCAGAGCATCCGCTGAGCCCCAGCTTCCCCGGAGGCTGCAAGACTCCTGTGACTCCATGGTCCCATCCTCCCCCGTGGGCATACTCACTGACCAAGGAATGGGCTCATTTTCCCATCCTCTTAAATGAAATACTCTGATCATGTAAGAGCTGTTGACAATACAGAGACAGACAGCGGTCCCCCAAAAAGGGCTTTATTCTGAAATAGCTGAAATCATTGCTGTGAGTCGCCTTTCTCCATCTCCCAAGATGTTGAATCAGGGTCACCATCAGGAATTGGGAAGTCAATGCTTGTGTGAAACCCTCCCCTCCTGTGGCTCACGGCTCCTGGCCCGGTGGGTTCCCAGGAGCAGGTACTGAGCTCGGGCGTGATCTCATGTCACCCACAGGCCAGGGGGCTGCTCCAACCCCCGGAGCTTTGTGCTTTCCCTGCCCCATGACCATGTGTGGCAGATGCGTTGGCATGGCCGGGGCCGTCTGACACCCCGTCGGGCCCTGGAAGTGGTGAAATGTCTCCATGGAGCATGCTGCTGGTTTCTCCTTCCTTGGTAATTGCACTAGTCAGGCTGCAAGTTTAATATCTGTTCTCTACCGTGCAAGTCCCAGGCACCAAATTACTCCTTGTGTTTGCAGTCGAATTTCAGAGTAACGTCGGGGGGAAGTGCTCTTCTGTCTGTGGATCTGGTCTGCCTGACACCATGCAGATGCCCAGCCAGAGACCCAGACAGAGCCAGGCTTCATTGCATTAATTCAAAATAAAGAAAAATGTACCATCTCCTGGCCATGAGCTCGTGACCTCCAGGACGCATCGTTTCCCCTGGCGTGGCAGCTCGAGGGGGAGAGGATGGGAGCCCCGTGGTCCTGACATTGGCAGGGCTGGGGACCCTGAGGCCGCTGCACTGGTGGGGCTGGTGGCACATGGCCTGAGCAAGAGCATTGCTGCCGGGGAGCAGGGCCAACACCTCCCCAGGTGCCCCAGCCCTGCTCCGTGACCCATGTGGGGACACATGCCGGCTCAGGAGGGGCCAGGGGCTAGAGCCGGCATGGGGGCTGGCAGCATGGCACGCTGCCCGGGGACGCTGGTGTGCGTGCAGCCACCTGCCTCCGTGCTCCGGCTGCCACCGGCGGGACTCGTTATTTAGACATTTTTGTAACGGGGTACATAATACCTGCTCCAGATGTGATGTAAATACCAAACTGTGAAATAATAAATTCATTTTAATCTCTGCAAAGGATCTTTTCATTCAGCAGCAAAGGGAGGCTTTGGGAGCGCTTCTCTTGCCGACTGGATCCGACGCGGAGAGGCTGGGGGCTCTGCCCTGGCTATTCCAATCCCAACCGGCTCATGCAACAGCGGCTGCTCTCATTACTCATGCAACTGTCTAACTCTCTGGCTCAATAAAATCTTTTGGCTGTGACTTACACTCTCTAATTACACGTTGCATTAAAAAGGCATACTCTTTCATTTAGCTGAACCACAGAGGAACAGTTTGGGTGATGCTCAACAGGCTGATTTTTGCCTCGGTTTTCACTGATGTGGCCACACAGATGAGTCTGCCCGTGTCTCTCCGTTCTGCACGCTGAGATCTGACTGGCGACACCCTTCTCCAGCTCCGGTGGGCAGGTAGCCATGCCTTGGGGCCACGGCTACTGATGTGCTGCCAGAGCATTTGTCCTGTCACAGGTCCTGTGTGGCTCGGCTGCTGGGTTACGCAGCAAAGGGCTTTTGTCAAATGTTTGGCCACGGTTTTTGTTATATCCGTTGCCCTGGCTGGAACGATTGGAGGAGCCGCAGAGGGCAAAGCCCTGCAGAGGAGGAGCCGGCGGCTGCCTGTGTGCCTGGGGCAGTCAAGCTCTCCCGACACCAGGACATTGCTGAGCTCCTGGTGGGACAGCCTCAGCTGCATGGTGGCTTTCTGTCCTGGGCCCAGGACAGCTGAATGACTGAAAATACCCTTGAGATGGCTTTCCTCCATCAAAGGAGTGAGACGAGCCTGGGCCACAATTTATCAGGAGAAGGGATGCGTGGTGGGAGCCTCCTTCCCCGGGGAGAAAGACACCGTCAGCTTTCTGTACCTCTCCCAGTGCAGAGCCATATCTGGTGGGACATCTTATCAGTTAAAAACAGCAAATGGAGGGAGAAAAAAGGAAACAAATTCAGAATAATCAGCAAGAGATTCCTCAGAATTGAAAAAAAGAGGATCTGTCCTCGCAAAGGAACAGCGGGACTCGTCCCCTGAGCACGGGGCAGCGCTTGAGAGGAGGGAGGTGGAGGGCAGGGGACAGGACAGGGCTTCTTGTGCTCCGCTCCAGGCCAGGGCATGGGGCGAGGGACAGGGCTGCTGGGCTGAACAAATAGCCGGTCAAGCTCATTTATCGAGTGTTGTTCACAGCATGAATACTTTAGCCCGCTGCTCTCAGATGACAGCTTGGAGAGAGCAGGGGCTGGTGCGGGAGGCAGGGCTGGGCTGCATAAACCAGCATTTCCTTCCTTCCTCTTCGCTCAGCCGAAACCAGCCTGGTGGAGCCCCAGAGCCCCTGGGCTTGTGCCTCCAGCCCCAACACGGGGTTTGTCAGCAGAAACTGCTGCTTCCCCTGGGGTGAGGAAGGATCAAGGGCCAGAGGGGCCATGCACCCTGTGAGCTGGGGGGGAAGGGGTTAAAGGGTGCCATGCAAAGGCAGCTGGGGGCAATAGGCAATCTGGCCCCAGGAGAGCTTAAATAAAGGATGCAGGGGTGGTGGGTGCTGCCACAGGAGGGATGGTGTTGCTGCAGGAGGAGGTACTGCTCTTAACTTGCTGTTGTTCCATGCAGAAGCTGGGCTGTCCCTGGTATCTCTCTGGGGCTGGGTTGAGGCTTCCCTCTTCTGCCAGCCGTGTGCCAGGGCAGTTGGGCTGGGAAGCAGCAGGTGCTTCAGCTGCTGGTTCTTCTGCTCTTGAGGCTGGGGTGGAGCAATATAACTCTGAGAAGATGCTCTTGCTTTGTGCTTTCGTAGCAATCTTCCTGTGTCTCTCTTTTCCCAGTTCTGTCTTGTACTGGGCTGTCGGGGGTCTCTGCAGTGCCCTCCTCTGGTATCCTGGGCAGTGGAGGTATCTCGGTGCCTTGGACATGCTGCTCTCCTGCAGAAGAGGGGAGAGTAGCTCCCTGCTGCCCACACTCGCTTGTGTGTGTGTCTGTTGGTGTTCTCCGTGCCCCTAGGCTCAGCACAGCTGCTGGAAGGTGGCACTTGGTTGCTGCCCTCTGTCTCCGTGGGGGTGCACAAGAGCTTCTTCTCTCTGCTCCTGCTCTGCCCTTTACAACTACTAATGGGGTGGGAGCTTTAATTGATTCTGCTCGTCAGATCGGGTCCTGACTTCACTGTCTGCACTAGTGTGGGGAGTGTCTCCGTCCATCCATCTGCTCCCAGGGCTCTGGTGGTGTTATTCCTTGGCATTACTCCTTGCTGCAGTTCCTGCTCTCAAGTCTGTATGTGAGTGAATTCTGGCCAGGGAAGTTTAACCAGAGGGATGCCAGAAATAGGTAATCCCAGAGCAGACCTGGAAAGTGGCAGCGAGGGCTTGTCAAGGCTGCGGAGCTCCTCGTTAGGTCCTGGTGCAAAGCCCATGTGCTGGCACCCCTCTCCCTGGGGCACAGGCCATGGGAAGGTGGGCAGCCCAGGGCTGTGCAGGGGTACAGGTGCTGGCATGCCTCTGCCGCAGCATGCGTGGTGGCAAAGGGCACTTCAGCTGTGCCACTCTGGGAGCAGATCCCTACTGCATCCACTCAGTTTTGGTGGCAGAAGCTTAACCACAAATAAGCTGCACCTGGGAATGCCCAAATATCTGTGCCCTCCACTAGACCTGATCCCTGTCAGTTCAAGCGATTGCTGGGCTGGAGGCTGGTGAGCTCTGGCTTTGTACCTTCTTTCCCTCCAATATTGACTGCAGCCTGTGTGAGTGTGTACTTGAGGGAAAGAAAAATGCCTGGCTCTGGAGGAAAGCTGAGAGCCCGTTCTGGCCAGTTAAGGCTAATTAGCTCGCAGTGATCCTAGAGCAATGTGCATTAATTTCTCTAGGCTGCTTTGCTGGGAGCTTCCCCTGTCCTGTCCCTTCTCCTTTGCGCAGTGGCTCCCACTGCTCTAGCATGATGTCCCCCCAGATGCCACCCCTCCCCAGGGGCCAGGGCCAGTCTGTGTTTGTACCATCCCCACCTGGGAGGCCTGTCCCCACCAAAAGCCCTAGCTGTCGAATGCAGGGTGGAAGTCTGTTATTTCTAATAACAAATACTGGGCTGCTGCTGGGAGCATCCCTGCTTGGCTAAGCTTATTTGTAGCCGGCTCATAATGTGAAGGATCTACTCTGCAGAACTGTTGAGCTTGACACCTACATTGATATAAAAAACATGTTATTGTCTGCATAATAGTCACCTTTAATGCTTATTTTTCACTTACCACAATACACGGTTTAGTGAGGAAATAGCCCCTTAGTGTCTCTGCTGAGTGCTGACCTCGCCTGTTGTATACCGCTATCACGGTAAAGTATACAAATATGGAAAATCGCTGCTCCCCTTCTGGCAGGTAAATGCTTTTCAAAGGAAAGTGCTGCAGCCTGAGGTAGTGCTGGTTTTACCTCCCGTCTCTCGGGGGAGCTGGAGAAGGATGCTCCCGGCACTCCTCCCCTGTGCTCTCTTTCTGTATTTTCAATGCTTTCCTTTGGCTGAAGAGGCAGAACATTTCTAGCAGGAGCATTAAGCCAAGGAAGAGGGTGACGGAGATGGGAACGTTCCTGTGCAGTGGCTGCCGGACGCCTGCTCCCGTGACAAGGACTTTGTGCGATGCCCTGTGTCTTTGGTCCCTCGGC